AACAGCCAGCACCCCCGTCCCACAGACTCCCCCCCCCCCCCCCCCCCGCAGGTGCTGTCCAAGTCAAGGGCTAGCGACTTCCACTGGAGAATTCCTGCGTGGTGGTAGGGGATGGAACGAGTGACGTGGTTGGCCAGCTGAGTCTTTGGTCAAAGCCAGTCATCGTCTCCCGGAAGAGACAGGTGGATTTTTTTTTTTTTTTTATTTTTAATTTTGACATGATTGCAGGTCTCAAAAGTTACCAAGCCACTGGAGGAACCTTATGCACTTACTCTTGTTTCCTGTGAGGGGTGTGGTACAGAAACTGCCGACTTGACTGCTCCACCAGGGGAAAAGGTTTTTATTATGGGAAAGAGAGAGAAAATATGCAGAGGCCCCTGGACGAGTTCAGAGCACAGGAAGGAAAGCAGACTGGACCTGGAGGGAAGGCAGAGGGAAGCAGGAGAGATCGTGGAGCTGGCGAGATGCCGAGAAAAGACAGCAGGAAAGCAGACAGCATGGCCAGGGCTACGGAGGAGAGAGCAGTGCAGACAGCGAGACGGAGCCCAGCGAGTGAGCACCGTGCGAGTAGCAGACAGTGAGGGAGCTGGGGTGGATGATGAGGGTAAGTAGCCAGGGCAAAGACTCCTTTTGGGGATGGAAAGTTTCTGAGGAACGCTGGCCTTTATCTAACCACCAGAAATGCTTCTATGGTCCAGGTGAACTCGTTTCTAGATAGGGAGGACCTGCCACCTCGCACCCTGACTGGAGCATGTCGGTAACTGTAGTGTGGTGCACAGCCAGGAAAATGGCAATGACCGTCCTGGGATGCCATTTGGAGCCAGCCAGATTCACCATGCAGCTCTTGACATTGCTGCCACAGGAAAGGACAGTACATCCCTTTGTGGCCGCACTCAGCCTGCTTGCCATGTCCCATCTGAGCCCTTCATTGCTATGCTGACCTCCATTCTCAAATATCATGACTGGAAACAGGCAGTGTGGGCTTTGGAGCCGGCTGTTCTCCCCAGCGCGATGCTCCTCAAGACCTCTCCAAATGCTATCTCTCCATGGTTTGGAGAGAGGGACTCAGGCTAGCCCCAAACTAATGTCCCTCCTGCCTCAACCTCCCCAGTGCTGGGATTGCAGGCAGGTGCCACCTTCTACCTGACAGTTGTCCCTTGATTGCTGTGTGACTTCTGGGTAATAAATGGATGTAAATAGACTTAAGGATCCAGCCCCCCCCCCCCCCCCCCCAGCTCTGTTGCTTGGTTATGGAGTCTGGCTTGGACCGCCATCCCCTTTCAGTCTGGAGTGAGGTGCTGAGCTGAGCTATATGCTGTTTTATCAGGGCTCTCAGAGCTGAAGGGGAGGTTGAACCCAGGAGCTGGAACACTGGTTGCTTGGATCATCAGCTTGCTCCATGGAGGCAGGTTAGGTCTCCAAGCAGCTGCCAGAGCAGCGCTCCCAGTCCTTTGGGCAGGCAAAAGCTGCCCATTTTATTGAAACTTCTGGCAGAGGCCAAGGTTCTGTGCCATCAGGAGGCCTGTTCTATTTTCACAGATGTTGAACAATCAGACAGCTTTTAACATCTCCCCCTACTCTAAGTCCACAGACCTGTGTTTGTATTAGAATCTCAACCTTGGGCTGGAGAGATGGCTCAGCGGTTAAGAGCACTGCTTACCCTTCCTAAAGGTCCTGAGTTCAATTCCCAGCAACCACATGGTGGCTCACAACTATCTGTAATGAGGTCTGGTGCCCTCTTATGGCCTGCAGGCTACACACAGACAGAATATTGTGTACACAATAAATTAAAAAAGAATCTCAACCTCATTATAGAAACAGCAATGAGAAGTTTTATTTTGAAAATTAAGCCAGGAGAGTCCCAGTCCAGAGCAGCAGGAGGGGAAGGCCACGTTTCAACAGAAAGAGAATAAATTGGGAAATGGATGTGTTCCTTGGAGTCCTTTATTGTTACATGTTGCCATGTAAATTTAGGTTTCACAGTCCAGACCAGAATCATAGTTTGCATAACAGCGGAACTCATTGGCCAAATTTCGGGAATGTTCTGGAATAAACTTGCACATTTTAACATCTAGGAGCTGAGCTGCCTGCTCTTCCATGATGGCTCCTGCAAAGAACAAACCACGTGAGCTAAGAGTCAAATGCACCCTACAGCTGGGTTCTAGATGGAGACCCCGAGGAACTGGGAGACAACCCCACCCACGGCACACAGGATATAGTATTTTATTTATTTTATGTGTATTGGTGTT